TTGTATAGTAAACTACTCTAAGTATTCCAATTACAATAGTTTACCCACTAAAAGTTATAATATTTATGTTACATTATATTTTTACCTGATGGTGAAACATTACTGGTAGCAGACTTGCCTTCTGGTTCACTTGACAAATTATCATCTTTATTAATTTTTTGTCTGTTTGAAGGAGTACCTAAAGAATAAAAATAAATAGCTCAATAGATTGTCACTATTTCTTATACTATTAAAACATTATATATACTTACTGGTTGGTGATATTAAGATTTCATCAGGTTTATTCTGGGATGAAGAAGCAATATTTTCATCATAAAGTCTTAATTCTTCTTCAATCTCTTTATGAAATTGATTGATTAGTTCCGATGTAACCAATAATTCATCTATATTGTCATCTGATGATGGATTTTCAACAGTTTTATTTTCAAAGAATAAATCGTCTTCATCATCGTCTGAAGCACAAAAACTGGCATCAGAATCACTGGGTATATCAAAATCCAAGAAAAACGAAATATCCTTTTCCCTGAGATTCATATTTGCCTAGGAAAAGAAAAAGAGAATATTAGAAAAATAATATACTAGACAATCAATATATTTATTTACTAATTTTCATTTCGTGTTATGCATAGTGGTATCATTTGATACCACATAGTTACTAGGCAATTAATAATACATAACTACATTATTCTTCTTTGATCTTATTATAAATTAATTTCTCATGTAATTTCACATCATAAAAGTAATTTATTATAATGATACTTACCCAATTTAGTAATTTTTTCGAAGATATAAAAAAAATAAAATTGTAAGTTTTGAACACGCGAAAACCGTTGATTGATATGATTATTATTCGTATTACGATAACATTAGTGATAACACGACTATTCAGAACGTTTCGTAACGTTCCGCACTTCAGATTAAAACATCAATAACACTGCAGCGCTGCTTTCTCGATTTTATACAATTATTTTTATTTGGTGGTATCATATGATACCGTTGTGCATGAAGAGGTTAAGCTGACAAATATGTTGTATATAAATATATTTTTTTTTTACTTTTAATCTTAAAAAATGGATATCTTTTATATATTGTATATTGTATTTTTATTATTTTAATTTTAATTAATGTGGCAACGTTGCATAAAAGTTAGCAGGTAAGAACGTTCTCAATCGTGCTATTAAAAAAGGTACGGCCGATAAGGACCGTTCTCAATCGTGTTCTACCCGTTCAATATATCGTCGGTGCACAAGAATAGTGACACAACTCAAAAATTGGCATTTTCGAGATTATTATGAAAATGCATTGCAAAATACCCATATATTTATGTGCAAGAACGACATTTTTGATGTTTCCAAAAATCGCCGCAAGATGGCTGTAGTGTCGTTATTAACCGCGATAAGCTATACAAGAAACGGGGAATCTTTAAACCGCTGTACTGGAAAATCTACTTTTTTGAGTTATGTCACTATTCTTGTGCACCGACGATATATCTAAATAAAGAAGGAGTGGACCCTGTAGAAGTAAAAAGATCGATGAATTATGGTTAGGGTTTGATCAGGTGCAATCGGCAATTGAGTCGTTTGAGGACGAAACGGATGATTACCGTATAGAATTCGAGGAGCTATATTTTAGTGCTATGGCTCTAGGCGAGAATATACTGCAGCATGTAAGCACAAAAAAGGATAATGGTGATCAAAAATCAGCTTCTATAGGCCATAATACAGCACACGCAATTAATTGTAGCGCTAATTCTTGTTGCAGCGGTGCAACCGCGGAATTGAAATTATCACCGATAGGTAACCAAAATTTTCGGGTGCATATGAGGAATGGTCAGCTTTCCACGATATTTATATAGCAATGGTACATAATAACCCACGTATAGACGATATACAGTGATTTTTTCATTTGCGCTCGTGTCTAAAAGGTGAGGCGGCACGGGTTATAATGTATATAGAAAAAACGGCCGTCAATTATAACATAGCATGGAATAGCGTGGAAGCTCGATATAATAATAAAAATGTATTAGTGCAATCGCACACAAAAGAGTTATTCGATATACTGGCGATAAATGAAGAAGCTGTGTAATTAAGAAAATTAATAGATCAGTTAAACGGTCATATGAGCGCGTTAGAAACATTAGGTGAGAAACCTAAGGAGTGGGGCTCAATATTATTACACCTTATAGCAACTAAATTGGATTCTAGTACACTTAAAGCGTGGGAAACGGTATCCCCTAAAAATGAAATGCCCAAAGTACAAGTGTTACTTGAATTTTTAGAAAAGAGATTCAAAATAATGGAAGCAGTGGAGACCTCTTCGAATATTAATATTCGTAATGACAAAAAAATAAAAAATAATGTGATTAGTGGTAAGAAAAACAAAAATAACCACAAATCGATAGCGTTTCCGGCATATGGTGGGATGAAATGTTATTATTGCCAATTAGCCCATTCAATATATAAATGTCCGTCTTTTCTAGCTTTACCCATTTCCGATCGAATAAAAAGGGTGGGTGAACTTAAGTTATGCAAGATATGTATGCGGAATCATATCGGAAAGAAATGTGATGGCAAAAAATGTTTTCAATTTCATAAGGCGCATAACACATTATTACATTTAAAAATAAATAAGACGGAAAGTAATGTCACTTCGGAGCAATATGAAGAAAATACCACAGCGAGTAATGTAAGTGTGTCGGCACACGCATTGGCGATAAGCTATAGACAGGTGCTCCTATCAACCTACAGTCCACTAAAAAATCGACGGTAACAATAATGTAGCCGTATATAATCTATATTATAAATTATAATATATTAAAGACAACAATTATTATTATTATTTTTTTTTTTTTTATTAAAGAAGAAAGCCTCGATGGCGGGATCATTAGCCTAAATCATTAGCCTGTTTTACATAGGTACTAAACTTAAACTAAATTATAAACAATTATTATTATTTTCTGATTGAACATTGTTATGAACATGGTTATCGTTCAAAATATACAGTTGGAAAATAGTAGAACATAGGTATATAGAATAACGTGTAAACGTATTATAGAAGTAGTATCTTAGAAGTATTGTTGATTACCGTCTCAGGATGATAATATGCATTATGCACCGTTAAGAAGTATACTCATACTCGCGTCTCGCGTCGCTGCCATTAGGGTAATAATATTATACTACTTTTACTAATCGTATTCGTTATTAATTATTCAATTACATTTAATTAAATAATTATTGAACATTTAACTTAAGATAATGTCAACGCAATATTTGTTTCACTCTCAGACACAAGCGCAACATAGATAAACCACTTTCACCTAACATTATTTTTATAATTTTTTATTAATCTTAGAGTAAAATTACTTATAACAACAATTATAGAGGATAATATTTTTGAGGGTTTGACATTTAGATTTATATTTTATTATTACATAACTTTGTATCGACTTACAAAAAAAAAAAAATGTTAAAAATTGATTTGAAACAATATTTAAACAAATCTTTATGTCATGCTCTCAAAAATATTATTCTCTATAATTTTAGTGTTAGGTTATTTAATATTTTGCTCTAAGATGACTCAAAAACGATACTGCGTAAATGCATTTTGTCTATATTGCGCGTGGCCGCATGGGACAGAGAGAGAAAACAAACAGTGCGCTGGCATCCTCTTAATATAGATAATAATTAATTCATACGAATATACGATTATAATTGATAGGCTTACTAACCATGACTAGTCGAGAACGTGATAAGTTCAGAAAATATGAGTCAGGAAACGTAAAACGAGAAAAAAATGGAAGGCTGAGGAGTTTATGCAGAAACATAGGGGTACCATTAACAAATTTTTAACCATATCTAAAAATGAAGATATTGAAATCACTGAAAACCCAAAACAATCCAGTTCTTCATATTTAGATAATACTCCAAATATTATATTGAATGATAACATTGAAATAACTGAAAACCCAAAACAATCCAGTTCTTCATATTTAGATAATACTCCAAATATTATATTAAACGATAACATTGAAATTACTGAAAACCCAAAACAATGAAGTTCATCATATTTAGATAACACTCCAAGTATTATATTAAATGATGATATTGTAATTACTTAAAATACAAAACAATTAAATTCTTCATCTTTAGATAACACTCCAAGTATTATATTAAATGATGATAATGAAATTACTGAAAATACAAAACAATTAAATTCTTCATCTTTAGATAACACTCCAACTATTATATTAAATGAAGATATCAAAATTAATGAAAATCCAAAACAATCAAGTTCTTTATATTTAGAAAACACTCCAAATATTTTCAATATTGATGAAAATTCAACTGAAAACTATATTTTAGAAAGTAACAATAAGTTTATAGGAAAAAATGTTATTGGTAATGATGATTGCTTAAAAAATCAATCACATATATGGAGTGACCCTGGAAACTGGCCTTGCCATATAGACAGTCAAATAAGATATGATATAATTAAGTTAGGACCAATACGCTTAGTGGATTATGAATTTCCAAAGACTCTTCAAAATGATGGCTCTAAACGAAAATTTACCAAAAACTTGTATACAAGAAATTTAATAAATGGTGAAAAAACTGATAGAGTTTGGTTTGTTTATTCGATTACGAAAAACTGTTGTGTTTTGTTATAGTTGTAAGCTTTTCTCTTCTGAAAACCCCCACCTCAACCATCTAAGTACTATCGGAACTAACGACTGGAAACACTTGCCTGAGAAACTTATAACTGATGAGCGTTCTGTTCAGCATTTCAAATCTATTGAAGCCTGGACAGAATTTAAAAAAAGAATTTTGAAAGAAAAATGTACTCCCTGATTAAGGAAACTAATAAAAACCACACCAAGTCAAATATCAAAAAAAAAAAATTTATTTACAAATTGTACATATAATGCCATTTTATATTCATTTTTTTTTTAAAATTATATCACTTAAGTGGCGGCCTCATTCTCGATACACTGATTGAGTCTTTCACGGTAATTTTCTATGACTAAGGGTCATTTCGGGCGGGATAGCAGCAATTTCCAGGATTATTACCTCCTTCAGAGCTTCCAAAGTTTGTGGACGATGTTGGTACACTTGGGCTTTAATATATCCCCAGAAAAAAAAATCGCATGGGTTCAAATCTGGTGAACGTGGCGACCACCCAATGTCACCTCGCAAGGACACAATATGCCCAGGAAACATTTCTCGAATGCCGAATGTTTGACGAGCTGTGTGTGCTGTTGCACCATCTTGTTGAAACCACACATTTTGTTGTCCATACTCATGAAAAAAATCGTTCAATTTTGGCCGAAGAAAATGTTCAAGCATCTCACAATACCGATTAGAGGTCACTGTTACAGTGGTACCGTCTTCTTCAAAAAAGTACGGACCCCACACACCAAACGAGAAAATGGCACACCAGACTGTAACCTTTGGACTGTAGAGTGGTCGTTGGTGAAGTTCTTGAGGATTGTGTTCAGACCAGTATCGAAAGTTTTGTTTGTTTACCGTACCTGAAAGATGAAAATGTGCCTCGTCTGTAAAAAGCAAAACATCTGTACGGGGAACATTCCGAAGGAGATCCTGACACAATGTTGTACGGGTTTCCAAATCTCTTGGAAAAAGTTCTTGAGTAACCACAATTTTGTAGGGGTGCATTTTAAGTTATTGGTGCAGAATCCTCCGAACACTGCGATCGGATAAGTGTAAAGCAGCCGCGTGTTTCCGTGCAGAACTCCGCGGAGATTGCTCGATTGAAGTTCTCACAGCAGCCACATTTTCCAGTCCTGTTGCAGTCCGAGGTCGGCCCATCGACTTTCTTTTTAGTGCAGAACTTGTTTGCCTAAAATTTGATACCCAATTATGTATGGTTTTGCTATCGGGAACGGGATCACGTCGATTGAGCGCGAACCGAATACGAAACGCACGCTGGGTCGTTATCGGTGAACCGCCATTATTAATAAATTCCTCAACAACAAACGCACGATGCTCTCCCGATCATGCCATAATGAATACTAAAAATGGCATCGATAAGGCTTTCTATCGATGTAATTACCACTAATGTACCTCCACCCAAACCCAAACTATAACCTTATCAAACTAGGGAGTTCTTTATGCCGCACCTTGTATTAATCAACAACATTTATCTATTATTGGGAAGTAGAAAATTCATTGGACAAATGTACTGAACAGAATTTTATCAGTCATTCATTATTTAGCTGCTCATAATGATGCATTCCGAGGTTCATCAGATGTACTTTATACTAAAAGTAATGGGAAATTTCTTGGCTTAATAGAAATGCTGGCGAAATTCGATCCAGTAATAATGGAACACGTTAACAGAATTCAAAATAAAGAAACACATGTCCATTATCTAGGTCATATAATACAAGACGAAATTATTAATATGATGGCCAATGAAATCAAGCAAAAAATAATAAGAAACATACAGTCTGCTAAGTATTTTACGATTATAATGGATTGCACTCCAGATATTGGACACAGCGAGCAACTTGCTATTCTTTTGCGAATAGTACATATGGACGAAGAAAACGAATACAGTACACCTACTATACAGGAATATTTCTTAGATTTTATAAAGGTCGATTCTACAACTGGCTTAAATTTATCTGATGAAACAACTTAAACTATATAAAATAAACATTAAACATTTTCGAGGTCAGGCCTACGATAACGGCTCGAACATGACAGGAAGATATCAAGGAGTTCAAACCCGAATCTTAAATATAAATCCACAAGCATTTTTTACTCCTTGCGCTGCCCATAATTTAAACTTAGTCCTGTGTGATGCTGCCAAAAATTCAACTATAGCCATTACATTTTTTGGTATAGTTCGAAGTGTTTATACTTTATTTTCTGCATCAACATGTCGCTGGAGTATTATTCAAAAACATTGTACAGTGTTCACGGTTAAACAATTGTCAGAGACGAGGTGGGAGAGCCGTATAAATAGTGTGAAAGCTTTACGTGTTCAACTTTCAAGTATTTTAAATGCTTTAGAAGAAGTTTCCGAGACAGCTAATGATTTGATGGCCCGAAGTGAGGCTGTTTCACTATCAAATGAAATTGGTAATTATGAATTTATATTAAGTCTTGTGATTTGGTATGATATTTTAACAGAAGTAAATATTGTGAGTAAAAGTACACAAGATCATAAGATGGATAAAAATACTTCTGTAAAAATGGTTCAAAGTCTTATACAGTTTTTGCATCAATATAGAGAAATTATTATATTTAATTTTGCGAAAATTGCTGCTACCAAATTAGGTGAAGATGCTGATATTGTAGTTGCTTTCAAAAATCCACGAGTAAGAAAAAAGAAAAAATTATTCGATTATGAAAATGTTGAAGAACCTGTGTTAAACAATGAAGATCGGTTTCGTACAAATTATTTTTTCATCATTCTTGACCATGCAATACAGTCGATTAAGAAACGCTTTAAACAGTTAGAGACTTATTCGGACAATTTTGGATTTTTACATCGCATTGGCAAGTTGAAAACAATGGAAAATAATGATTTATTAAAACACTGTAAAGATTTGCAATTAATTTTAACAGATAACGATCTAAAAGATATAGATGGATTAGATTCATTTTCTGAACTGATCATTTTTCGAACTTTAATTGACGAAGATACAAATTCACTCCATGCACTTAATATTTTAAAAACAACAAATGGATCATTTCCTAATCTAACCATTGCTCTTAGAATAATGCTAACAATTCCTGTGACATCTTCTTGTGCGGAAAGAAGCTTTTCAAAGCTAAAGTTAATAAAAACTTATTTGCGCAATCGATTAGGCCAAGACAAACTTTCTGAACTAGCTTTAATATCAATTGAAGAAGAAGTATCGTCCACAATCGACTATAAACATCTCATCGATATCTTCGCTTCAAAAAAATGCAGAAAGAAAATGTTTAGTTAAGTTTTAATTTGATAATTTCTATTTTACTTTATATTTAATGTTTATAATATTTTAATAAAAATAATTTTACTTTATTTTAATTATTTATAACACAAAATGATAAAAAGGATTAATCGTATCTATTATTTTTTTACTTAGGTATCCTGATAAAACAGTATATTATAGTATATTTGGTTTTAATTATTATTTATTATGTTCCAATAGAAAAATATACCTAATAATATTTATTTTTTTGATATAATATGGAGATCGCTATTCAATTGGGCTCACTAAGAAGTAGTATGTATTGTAGTGCAGAGTAAAAAATATATAAAAATTATTAACTAGACGTCTAGACTACAATACATATTAAATATATATCTGGATAAGGGAATGGCAAAGTATAAAAATATATATAATGAAAACAGGACGAAATAAACAAATATATGTACCTATTTAAAAAAAAAATACGAAGAACATTATTTTGTCCGAGGGCCCCGCAAAAACTAGGGCCGGCCCTGTTTGTACCTACATTAAGTTTATTGGTAAGTTTTCTTAAAATGTATACGTAGAAAAATAAATCGTTATGATTAATACATTAGTTTGTACAACAGTTTTTTTTTAAATTTTATTTTCAGTTAAGTCAGATTTTTTCATTCAGTAATCATTTACCACGGACTAAGATAAACAGGACTGGAAACGAGATAGTCATCTATGGAACTACAGTGTAACGCTTCTGGTACAAGTGCGATTTTAACGCCATCTATGATCCATTCTACGAAATATTAATACATCAGTGTCCAGTGATCACCATTATTCGTTACAGTATAAAAAATAAATATATCCTTGTAACTTGTAAGTTTTTATTAATTCTTTAATAATCTTTGCTTATATATCTAACTGAAATAAATTTGTTGTTTAAAGTACATAGTAATATAGTATACACTGTATTGATTCAATTTTAAATGATTGTTGAAAATAATATACATTAATACATAGAATATAAGCTGAATACCTAATTATATTTTAAAGCAAAATCAATTAGGTATAGCCGTATAGGTAAATGTGATGTTATATTTTGTAAATGTACCCGTTTTTTCCACGATTTTGGAAATAGTACGTTATGTATTCAATTAAATTATATTCCCTATCTTCATACTAGGGAAATAGTACATATGAGCCTACTTTGGAAATTGTACGTTTTGTACAATTCGAGTAATTGGTACGTATTTGTCAATAAACAAACTATTTAACATGGACAATACTACGTTTTGACGTAATTTTGGAAATAGTGCATTTAGACAAATTTTGGCTTTGGAAATAGTGCGTTTTGCGTCATTTATGAGTTTCAGATTGATTTTAACAAGGGAAATAGTACGTTTTGTCACAATTTGATTGCAATATTCGATTCCCTGCCTTAATTTCTATAAGAATCATTATGTAACTCAATTTCTTCAATTTTGGCAATAGTACGTTTTGGATTGTCGCCCCACATTATAAAACAAAAATAATATGCAAATAAATATATGTGTAACAAATGCTAAATATTATCAATAGATAGAGCCACATTTGTCCATGTACTACAAGCGTTACACTATGGTTCCGGCTATCCGCACTCCTCCCGTCTATCGTTTCCAGTCCTGTTTATCTTAGTCCGTGTCATTTACACCACCAATAAATGTTATTCAAAGTATGATAACACAAAAGTTGTTTTACTCTTAAAATTATTGGCTGACACCAATACACCATAGCACAAACCTAATACAGTTTCATAGTTCATATATTATTATTAATTTACTTATATTAGATTAGTCTCTTGGACACAACAAGATGGCTGCCTATCTACATAATCCTATACTCTGTTCAGCGAGAGAACATGCCGGTTCTGCGCATGTAGACTGGCGGACGGCTGCTCGCTGAGAACCTATTTCCCCTTCCAAGATGTCTGGTTGTCGTGAAAGTGGCAACGATAATATGCGACCGACCCCGACGTCGATGCTAGCGACGCCACCAGTCATCTGACTCGCGCAACCTGTTGATTGTTGCCGCCTGCCAGCATTTCGTAAATATTTTCGTATTTATTTATTTTAATATACTCTTATTATTATTATTATAGTATTTTAATGATTAAAATACAAAAATAACACTCAAAATATAATATGGTAAAAGTAACAATTTTATTAATCAGTTAAAAATCAGTCAAATATATAATAAAATAAACAAAAAAAAAAAAATATTAATATTTAATAATCTGAATCTGAATAAGATGTGTCACCAGTTATTGTCATCACACAATCACCTAAATTTTCCATAACTTCCTCCACAACAAAGTCGATGTCCCAGAATCTTTTTTCTTCGTTAATTACGTAACTGCGAAGTTCTTCCATTTTTCGGGGCCGCATTCATTGACACCTTCAATAACGAGCTTTTTGACATCGGGTAGCTTAAATGTTGAATTACTCATTTTGATGTACCTTTAGACAGACGACCATGCCAGCTCAATTGGATTCAGTTCACAATGATACGGCGGCAAACGTAATACGACCATATTTTTGGATTTAACATACTCGTCTATGACGTATTTGTTAAACTGCGGTTTAATCCGATTGACAATGTTCATTAGACCAACTTTGTTAAGTGGCTTTTCATAAACCTCGCCCTTTGTTCCAGCCAACTTTCTATATCTGTTTTTTTCCAACTCATTGTTGGACATCGTTCGGCTTTCACCGAATGATAAGGTGCATTATCCTTTATATGACACTGTTGTCTTTTAACAATGGAATGACACCTTTAATCCAATCAAAAAATGAATCTCCGTTCATTTCGTCATAGTAGTCAGCTGATCCTTTTTTCGATTCGAATACCATCAGACCATCATTGACGAATCCTTGTTCTGATCCAATATGGACTATAATGAGTCGTTTTCCTTTGCCTGTTGGGTTGGGAGCACCTGTCGAAAGGCCAGACAAAAACGCGTCTCTGCGTGATTTAACGGTTTTGTCAACCCAATTTTTTTCCATACAATCCCCAATGTTTGCCCACGTTTCATCTAAATAATAAATTGTTCTTACTTCTTGGCGATATTTTCGGATATCTTGTGTATATTTGGTTCACCACAATACAATGTCGTCCCGTTCAATAAGTGCGCTTTTACGGCCTCTTTTACAATACGTAAAATTTAGCTCACGTAATAAATGGTATAGGTTGGTTCTTTTGTATGTGTTTAGTGTTGGGTCACTATTCACGGAAATTAAGATCTTGTCCAGTGTGGGTACCTGACGGCTAAACCAAAAATCGTGTACCTTTTTACGTATAGCATTCCGTTCGAAATCGTCTACTTTTTCATTGAATGTCAGCCTGATCTTCTTTTTGTTCGGTGATTGTAATGGTTTTGCATTCTTGTAGTCAGCAATTGTCCTTTGTATCGTATTCTGGCCAATACTCGTATCCCTGGATAGCAATATCACCACTTCCTTAACCGTAATAGATGGTTGCCCACATAGCAGAAACATATTGAATAAATATCAATGAGATATTATTAATTTTATGTTGATATCCACAGAATATCTTTATTAACTTCCCTACAAAACTTTATATATACACCGGATATTATATATATATCTTATGAACCAACTTTTTTTATCTGATAAATATCAGAATAAATATATCTTATTTATATCCATATAAATATATTGACTAGAGAAAGAATTGATATATTATGAATATTATTTTAATATTAAACTAATATCCAATTACAAACATTTAATCAATATCAACACTTATATATTGATCAGATATATTGTTAATATATTTGTATATTCAACTTATACCCAAATATAAATATCTAATGTATATCAACACATATACATCCACCAGATGTATTTTTAATATATTTTCATATTCAAGTTATATCCAAATTCAAATGTCCGATGTATATAATGTGCACTCACATATCAACCAGATATATTATAAATATCCGTTTCCATTAGTTAATTTTATCTCTTACACATCAATTCATAATAATAACTGTAGCTATAATTATAAAATGAATTATAAATATAAAATAAAATAATAAAAATAATTCATAATCAATGTATCATTTTAATAAATTTAGAAAACAAAATCAAAAATACAAATCAAACTTTTGAATTAGCACATCTATATGTATGCAATAAACTAATTATTATTATACATAAAATAGATAAATATGACGTATATAAACTACTTCATAATATATTACATACTTTTAATTTTCTTATTATTAAGAATATATAAAATAAAAATTATATAAATGAATTTCTTTTTTTGAGTTGTATATATCAACAGTTTAACTTATTATTATACATAAAAGAAAAGGTAGATATAAAAAATGACGTATAAAAACTACTTTATAATATATTATATACTTTTAATTTTCTTATTATTATAAGAATATATAAAATAAAAATTAATAATTAAGAAATTATAATATCATTAAATTTTTAAAGTTAAAAAAAAATCATGTATCTAAGAATTATTTGTTTTTGTTGTTTTGTTGTTCTATTCTGCCTTTAGCTCCAGTCATATATTTCCCAATCGATATGATGATTTCCTCATCTGAAACAGATTTCTGTTTAGATTTTCTTACAGCATCTGTGAAAAATATACAAACAATTTATTAATGATTTTATCTATTGAATTATAAATAATAAATAAAAAAACAAATAATTAACAAGTTATGATGTGATGGAATTTTGAAAAACTATTAATGTTTATAAATTAATTACCAAAAATAGCTTTATTAATGGACAGCGTATGAAAATTGTCTTTGTTTCTCAAACCGTAATAGGTAAACTTAATCAATATGGTATCGTCAAAAACTTTCTTCAACATCTTGTTGATGATTCTTGACAGAGTTTGACCTCCAAGCCTGGTCAGCTCACTAACCTGTAACATACACATCCAAAAATGAGATATAAATACTTAATATTAAAATATTATATATACGTACAACTAGTTTATAAAAGATTCTGTCTTTCATTTTATTTTCAAGTTCTGAAAGACCATCATCATCAGTAATTGGAGAGTTCATTACAAAATAACGTGTGTGAAGTTAGCCCCCCCCCCCCAAAAAAAAAAGAAAAAAGAAATTTTCCAAAATGAGTGTAACATTATTTTCTCAATTTGTAACCATTTGTAACCATATTACTAGCTGATCCTGTGCACTTCGTTGCCCGCTGAATGTACCAACTCTATATGCCTCAAACTATGTTCAATTCGTTATTTAATATTCGGTATATGGTGTTCAACATTTATCTTAACTTTTCTGCTGCCTGGAATAAAAATTCTGTTTCGCAGCAGTATATTACCAGGTAGTCAATCTATCTGAGGTAGATCGCGGACCCAGTGCTGTATGATTTAACTCTAAAGTATCAAAGTTATATCAAGTTTATTTTGATATAATACACGGTGGATTAATATAATTAATTAAAACATAAACCTAACCTAACCTAATCGTAATAAATCCGATGAATAAAAAAAACCAACCTTTTTAAATTTTTAACCCAGCCTATATTCTTCCCAGAGATCTGCACACAACATTCATTGCCCCTAAAAAATCGCAACTCTTAAAAAAATTATGATTGTTCAACCTCTTTTGGGTGTAATAACTTCCATAAATCGATTTGATGCAAGCTTGTACCTGAACTGCCCGAATAACCAATGGCAAATAAATAAATACTAATTTCTACTGTAGACTGTAACCAATGGCAACTATTAATAAATAAAAATAAAATTTCCAATTTCCATCGTGAACCTCAATGTCCCTGTTTGAGCACCTATTTAAAATGCGAATTTTGGCAAATCCTTTCTTATTGCACTGTGAAAATATGAGAAAAACCACTATTCCAAATTTCAAGTCCGTACGTGGCGTAGTTTTGAGATACGGCGATCAGTGAGTGAGTGGTATTTGGATTTTATATGTATAGATTTATGTGAAGTTTTGTCGTTTAGTATTAGAAACTACATTTTGTAATTTTGTAATCAATTTATTGTAATATTTTAAAAGATAATTAAGTACTGATAATAGTTTCATAATAAATAATTATAAAGCTAAATCGCAGGTTAGGCTGTGCCAGAAAGAAATTAATCAAAAAAATACATATTATTTATAATTAATAAAAGTAATTATAAATAATATGTATACAAATAAATATTAAAAAGGCGGGCAAGTGTGTGTCGCTTGGCAGTACAGTAGGTTACAAATGAGTAACTGTAATGGACTGTGTTAAATTTTTATCCAATCTTATAATATCATTGTATAAGAAAAACAATTCTGAGCGAAGACGGTCATGATATTAATATATTACTAAGTATATTTGATAATATTATTGTGAATAAAGAAGGAACCGAAACTGGTTTAACCGGTTTTCTGAAAAACCGGTTAAAACCGTGGTTTTTTCATATTTCAACACCGTAACCTAACCAAAAGTTTTAAAAGTTTTAAAACACCGGTTAATAAACCGTAACTGAAACCTAAAATCTTAAAAAAACCTAAACCAAAACCATACAATATTGAAAAACCGTTCTTGAAACCGATTTAAATTTAACACTAATATCGGTTTCTTCGAATTTTATAAAGTTAATTACCTATATTATTTATAATTCTAGTTAAAACAAGTATTTTTAGGTCGGGTTCACATTGGCGAGCGACGGGCGACAGCGACGAGCGATGAGCGACAAGGAATTTCCTAAAATATATTTAACACATAGTTCCAAATGGAAGTGTTTATATTGGTCGATGGCGACGGGCGACGGCGATCGGCGATGCTCGAGCGACGCGATCAATATTAATCATGTTTAATATTTGTCATCATTTTCAGAGCGATATGCACTTTATTTTCATATGAAACGTGAAACCGTTCAATTGTTGTAACTAGTTTTTTTTCTTAACTTAACAATTTAACTTACACAATGAGTCAGTATAAATTTACTTCTGCGCAAAGGGAAAATCTAATTTCCGAAGTTCAGTTGAGACCAATTTTGTGGAATGATAGACTAAAAGATTACTAAAGAAAAAACAAAAAAAATATGGGCTGAAGTGGGTGAAATTTGTGGTTTGACAGGTAAGTAAATAGTTAGCAGTTAGCAATACATTTCTGCTAAGTATTTTATAAAATATATAGATATAAAATAGCTAGAAGCTAGTATTTTTTATTATTCGAATACATAACCTACTCCACCTACGTAGGTATATAAAACATGTATCTTATATGAATAATATTAAAAATATTAACTACCTATACATATTATATATAATTAATATTTTTACTTTCTGGTTTTAGAATATTATTTTTGCATTACTAAAAATACAAATTTGAACACGAACATACTTGTAAACAAAATGATAATTATATTTTTGACTTGTAGTTCAAGTTATTAAGTATAAAATTATAAAATATAAATACAAGTTAAAAATATAACGAAATAAAATAAAACGAAATAGTTATTTTCGTCGAGGACCTAAAATAATAATAGTACAACAATACCTAGTTATTTTTAAAGTGATAATTATATTGACTGATATAGTACAACAAAGATAAAAAAAAACTGGTGATTTAAACTGTAGACAAATGTATCCTTAAATAATATTAATTACAATATAAAATAAAACAAGTGTAAACTAATATTGTCACTAGGTAATAATAAATATGCGTTATGTTATTATTTAAATATTTTATTATGTTTTATTAATTAAGTATATTAATGTTCTATAAAAAAATTTGCGAATTTTTCTCTCACTTCTTTTGCTTGTTGTGAATAATTTGGGTTCCTTCCTTCAAAATGATTTTCTGTCTCGTTTTGATGACTTCCTTGATTTTGGGTTATGTGGTAATAGTCAATATCATTATCCCCATCTTTTGTCCTTATCAAATTATGTAAAATACAAATACATTTTATTATTATTACAGCTCTCTTTGAATCAACCTCAATATCTTTTCCTAGAATTCTCCATTTTGCTCTCATTATTCCAAATACGCATTCTATGCATTTTCTGGCTGCCGATAATCTATTATTAAAATTTTCTTTAATTTGATTCAAATTACGACTAGGATAAGGTCTTAATAAGTAAGATTTTAACGGATACGCTTCATCTCCGATAAACACAAATGATGCTTCAATGTTTGTTCCTGGCAGTGTTGCCAGGTCTGGTGATTTATCACCAGATATGGTGATTTTTGATACAACCTGGTGACTGGTGAAAAACTTTTGAAAATTATGTAAAATCTGGTGATTTTAGCCCATTAATGGTTTTTTATATATTTTATCGTTTTTTAGCCTTGATTTTTTTTTTTAAAATTATACCACAATTTACACCATCCCTAAATAATATACCTAGTACCTACTATGCTAAATATGACCAATGTTATCATTGTTCTACGAGGTGATACCACAGAAAAAATACACCATACACGTCCTGGTGAAGAAGTGATAAGAGTGGTCTTCTTTTGCCATGGTTATAAATTTATAATATCATTTCCCCCGCTTGATAAAAACGGGAAAAACACTTAACCCCCAAAACACTGTAAGCAAGTAAGCAAACAAAACAAATGGTCAATAGCAGCAGCTAGTCAAAACTCACTATAGTTCGCCATCAGACGCCAAATCCCAATCTCCATATTGGGTATTTCGTGTCACTATGTAAGTATTTATGAAGTCAAAATGTTTTTTTCTTCATACATTTATTTTATATATATTTATTAATTTTAGGATGTCTGAATCGGATGGGTATAATACGGAAGACGAGAAAAGGAGAAATTCAACCAAAAAGAAAAAACTTAACTATGAACACAAGTACAATAAATTATGGGAAAATGAATACACATGGATATGTTCCAGTACAAAAGGCCCACATTTTTTCAAATGTAAAGCTTGTCGTAATGAATACAAAGGAGGTATTGCATCGGTCAAAAAACACGAATCTACAACAAAACATGAAAAAAGTATGTCGTGCTCAAAATTACCTTCCGTCCGTGATCTGGCAAGTACTAAGAACCATTTAGTTGCGAAAAAAAAAATAGAAATCGCTGAAATTAAAATAGCGTCATTTATAGCGGAACACAATATTTCAATTAATTCAGTCGATCATTTAGTTAAAATGATATTGTCTTTAAAACTCAATGACGATTCTTCCAAAATAACGTGCAATCGCACAAAATCCACGGCTATAATTAACAATGTTATCGGTTTAACGGATTTTGATAACATTATAAATGATATGAAAACTAATAAATTTTCATTAATGGTAGATGAATCCACCGATATTAGTTCTATTAAACATATAGCCCTGGTTGTAAGAATGAACATTGACTGGGATATAAAAGACAAGTTTTTAAACCTAATGCCTTTATCTGATGCCACTTCTAAAAATATGTATTATGTTATTAAAAACTTTTTTATTGAGAACCAAATACCATATCAAACTAATATGATTGGTTTTGCATCCGATGGAGCCAATTCCATGATGGGATTAAATAATTCGTTGAAAACATTACTTCAAAAAGATATACCAAAATTGTTCGTAATGAAGTGTGTGTGCCATTCATTAGCTCTGTGTGCAAATTATGCATGTACAAAACTTCCCGTTGAAGTAGAGACGTTGATCAGGGATATCTACAATTTTATGCACCAGAGTTATAAAAGGCAAACTGAATTTAAGGAATTCCAAATATTTTATGATTTAAAACCAAATAAGTTGTTACAACCATCACAAACTCGTTGGCTATCAGTCAATGCTGCTGTAAAACGTGTTATAGAGCAGTTTGAAGCATTAAAGGCATACTTTACATTACAAAATTTTGAAAACGATAAGTTGGCTACCCATGCTTGTAAAAATATTTATAAATGTTTAAATAATCCAATTTATAAACTCTATTTTGAATTTCTTGAATATATTTTACCTGTTATCACTGATTTGAATGCTGAATTTCAATCGGAAAAACCGAAAGTATATCTTTTATACTCACGTATGGCTGAAACGTACAAATTCATCCTGAGCTGTTACATAAGAGACAATATTTTAAAATCTATTGA